AGAAAATTAACTAGAATGTTATATACGTAAGAAATATGGATAAGTTGTATCAAATGGTTGATGATGAAAAAGAAATTATTATTAAAGAAATAACATATTCAAGGTTAGAATAATATTTTAATGTACCAAAGTATCAACCCGACTAACCCGTACGGGTTGGGTTGGGTTGTACTTTGGGTTAGGTTGGGTTAAGATTTTTCAAACCGTAAGCATTGAGTTGGGTTGTTTAAATGTCTTCAACCCTATCAACCCAACCCATGAACACCCCTAGATTCACATACCGGTAGGACAAAGACTCTTTATTAACTAATAATTACCTTTGTAATCACGAATTTCGAATCTCTTATCATATTCTTTAAAATCTTTAAAAAGAAATTATTCCGGCTTTATCCTCGGAAATATATGTATTTATTTTAATATAAAATCAATGAAATATATGTATTAAAAGACTCTTTGTTAACTAATGATACTATTTAAGGGGTTTTACCGAGTTTTGAACGGGGATTGCTAGAGATTTGACCGGGGACGAGATGATAATCCCCGTACCCACCAGGGACCGCGTCCGGGGGACATTACTACAAACCGGGGCCGGGGATTACAAAACCCGCCCCATCCCCGCCTCGTTGCCATGCCTATTGTCATTGGTGTAAAGATTTGAATATCGTAGGATTTGAAAACGGTAAAACTAGTTTAGGTTTTTTTTCACTTTAAAACTTTCATAGTGGTAACTTTTTGAGGTTAAATTGGTCATTTACTGGTCATGTCATATCCGACCGTGTCTTAACAGACACTGAATAAATGTCTTATCATGTCTTGTTCAGTCATGTCGTCGGTTATCTGGATAACAAATGCATTGGCCTTTTAAAAAAAGTGACATCAGCATGACGATAGAGATGACGTTGATAACTGAATTCTATCAACGTAATGGACGACAGTACACAAAATCAATCACATGCTACGTAACTTCTGACTCAGCATAATTTCATACTTTCTTTTATTTTTTTAATATATATAAAACTATTTTTTATTAATAAAATATTTTTTAATAATAAATAATACCAAAAAACCTTATAAAATAAAATATAAATTGTTCGGTAATTGTTTACAATAAAATTTAGGAGTTGAAGGGTTAAGAGAGGCTCATGATACAAAATCATTCATAGGGTTTTAGAACCATTAAGAGACAAAAAAAAAATTGTCAAACAAGATTCACGTCTTTATGATTCAAAAATTACCTTTTGATAAAACTATTAAGAGATAAACAAGCAACCATTTTCAAGATAATTATGGCCACTTAAAAATGCAATCTTTTTATAGGTTTCATTATATTCATATTAAAATTATAGATGGTTTAAAATAGATAATAAATCAATTAAATATAAAATTGCATATTATATTAAAAATCTTATGAATTAAAATAATAGAAATGTTTAAAATGATAATGAGAAAAATATTGAAGAGTTGTTTTTGTTTTTGATCAGCAAACTCTGAAATTAAATACTCGTTTTTTATTAGTTTATGATAACTGTGAGATCTAATGTGAACCACTTATTTGATATATTTAAGGATATTTCTTAAATAAGTTAAAAGGGTAATTTAGTAATTCTATTTTTTAACAACTAAACAAAATATTTAATTAATTTTTTTAGAATGAAATATTTAATTAAAATTAGTTACCTAGTATATCAATTATCTAATATACATCGTATTTTAAATACGTTTGTGAGTCAAAGTATATCATAGTGATAACATTCATAATATTTCACGTATCACAATGTATGTTCTTTGTTTTACGAAACGTATCATAGTGTGCATTTTCGTTATTTTCATTGTTTTACAAAAGGTATCACGTTGTGCATCTTGTATGTATATCTGAGTATCACAGTGAATATCGTTTGTAGGTATCACAGTGTATATATCTTGTCTTCACATAAGGTTCGCCGAATAAGGTTCACTGGAGAGAGAAAAGAGAAGAGATGAGAGAGAATATTTATAAAATCCCTAAAATGCCCTTAATTAATATTTTAAGTTAAAATTACTAAAACTATTAGTTTCCTAATTTAACCTAGACTAGACTTTGACACCAGACCTCCACTGACATTTTTGAAATGCCTCCCGACCCGTGCTCTAAAAAGTAATTTGTGGTTGTGATTGGATCTCACGGTTACCACAAACAAAACAGTTCTCATTTGATTAGGTCTCTCTCTCTATCTCTCTATCTTTATGTGTGTGTGTATGTGTCTGTGTCTGTGTCTGTGTATGTGAGTGTGTGTATGTGTATGTGTATGTGTATGTGTATGTGTATGTGTATGTGTATGTGTATGTGTATGTGTATGTGTATGTTGTGTGTCTTCTTTGAGGTGGGTTCACAAGTTGTGCTACATAAATCAAAACCCTAAAGTTTGGGGGTTTTGTTCAAAAACTAAGCCGTCGTTTACCCAAATGTTTACCCGATAAACGCTTATCGGTAAGAGTCAACACTATAATCTATTTTCTCAGGTAAGATGGTAGTATATTAAAATAGTATCATATGTAACAATTTACCCGATAAACGCTAATCCAGCTAAGAGTCATCATCATCATCACTTATCGGGTAAAACTCCTCTATCTTTATCATTGATGTTATAAGGTAAGATTTTCGGTTCTTGTCATGTTCATCAGGTAGGGAAAATTACCCGATAAGCACTTACCGGGTAAGTGTTTAGTAAACGACCCCTAAGATTTAATATGTACGGTCATATTTAAAAAGGTTGGAATCAGATAATCATATGGTTAAAATTAATAATATTTAAATCAATCTTATTATAACACCTTATTAGTAGATAATTATAAGGTTATAATCAATTAATCTGAATATTACAAACTAATTATTGTTGGTTTTAATCATAATAATTATTTTAAACAAATATAACAACAAACAATAATCAGAATTAATCAATATTATATATCAATAATTTTTGTTGTGTTTAAAAAAATGTTGGTGATTTGTATCATCAATATCATTTAAGTGTAATGAGATTAATTTGTTAATCAATGTAATCTTGATAAATATTGAACAAGTAAGGGTAGTGCAGAGTGCAGACTTGTTTGAGTTTACTTAGATTTAAAGTATATTGTTATTTAGGGGCGAAGCCCTAAACAACGGGGGTCCAGGTAGCAGCGCTCTGGGTAGCGGGGTCCAAGGGGCAAAGCCCCTGGCTGGGGTCGAGCTGGTGATTTTGAACTCGGTTTTTGGCCCTGTTATTTTAAACCCGGTTTGGTGGTTCTGAAACTGCCGTTTTAATAGTTTTCGAATTCTTTTTCGTATTGGTCATTTTGATTTTCAAGGGTACAGATACATTCATAACATCGATTCTCTGTTCGTATTACTGAATTTTATCCGATTGAAGTTTCGATTGTACCATCGAAATATTTCAATTTGAAAGTGAATCACAACTTTCAGTAATCCAAGCAATCGAAACACCCATAAATTATAACAAAAAAGCTATCAATGTTGTATATTTTTGCATCCTAAATATCCATTAAAAGTTGTTTGATTGGTTTTTCATTAAGTTCTATACTGATAAAGTTGTATGTGTGAATCAATCTGTCTGTATAGATTGAGAATATTTTTTTTAACTGAGAGGGGCAATTTTAGAAAAAACTTGACTTTCTGCAAAAAGCTTCTCCTTAAAAGCTTACTGAGTAAGAGGCTTTTGGTTGATTTTTCCTAAGTCATGTATGTATAAAGTTGTTTGTGATTAATCTGTCTGTATAGATTGGACAAGTTTTTTTTAGAAAGGGGTCTTCCATGAGCATTATTTATATATCATTAACTCACTTTCTATATCATTAAGCTACTACCTAACAGTCATGTATAATTGACCAAATAAGATGTGAATCTGTTAAGCTTATTAAGCTGCTAACAAACAGGTTTTAAGTCACTTCTATATCATTAAGCCCCTATCAAACAATGATATATTGTTGCATGAATAAGTTGTAAGCTATACTAAGCTCGTTAAACTGTTAATAAACAAACCCTAAATTATCAGATAAATTCAATGCTTTTGTTTTAAAATTTTAAATCCAGATTTATACAACTAATCATTGACAATTATTACCAAAAACAAGATAGATGGATTATAATATACAAATTTTCTTGATTTTTAATTCATTATATAATGCAATTTAGTCAACATAATATAATCATAAGCATAAAACAAGGAGTCAAACTTTTGCATTCTCACCAAGGGTCTAAACGATACGAAACAACTTGCAAGCTACTCGAGATCGATTCGATTAAAACCCGGTCAACACTCGACTCGAATAGGCTTGGCTCAAACTCGAACTCGACTCGATATATTAACGAGTCGAGTCAAGCTACCCAGTACTCGACTCGAAAAGCTCGTGAGATGCTAGATTTTTTTATTTATAATTAGTTTTCAAAATATAATCAGTTTTATATTATAATATGTATATTGTATAGTATCATATAATAAAAAAGTTTTATATTTTTAGATATTTGAATAACGTTGTGCATTTTTAACTATAAAAATTAATCAATAATTTTTTTAAATCATAATCAAAAAAACAACTACAAAAATGCTGGTAAAGTTGTCCCACATTGGAAAAAAGATAGTAAAAAAAGATGAAAATATGTTATAAAAAGAGAGAGAGGTGAATAGAGCTTGTAACCTTGTCTATTTGATGAGAACAAAAAGTCTAAGGGGCCGTTTGATTAGTTTTTCCATTAAGTCCTGTATGAATAAAAATGTCTGTATAGATTGGAAAGGTTTTCGTTTGAGAGAGTTTCATAAATGACAGAAGCATGTTTTTCAATTAAAAGGGGCAGGTTTGGGAAAAAAAACCTGACTTTTTGCATAAAGATATACCCTAGAAGCTTACTGAATAAGCCACTTTCTATCATTAAACTACTACCAAACAATCATGTATAGTAGACCAAATAAGTTGTGAGTCCCATTAAACTCATTAAGCTGCTAAAAGGACCCAACTCATCCAAAGACTCGGAAACATTTTCATCATTCTCATATTAACGGTTATTCTCACATGATCCCAAGTTGCAAATCAAGAACACCAAGTACAAACACCACAAGCATAGCATGTCTGAACCAAGATCCACTTCTCAGTTCTTATAGCATCAGAGATGCAAATTAACATACATACCTATAAAAACAAGAGTGTCGGTTCTTTCGAAGACAAGGGTGACTTACGACACAAATCCATACAGATTTAGTCGCAAAAGAACCATGGATCTGAATCAATCAGTCCATTCGTCGGCGTTTCTTGAGGTTATCGAAGACTTGGTGGATGTCATCAGTCGTGATTGGCTTCGATGCATCAAAGGATTCCTGATAACAACGTATAAGAAATGAGATCAAAAAACAAGGGCCTCAATGTATGATGTATAGAGTTCATTTTAACATTTAGGGGCCGTTTACTCAACGTTTACCCGGTAAGTGTCAACACTTTCATTTAACTAACCAGGTAAGATTTTAGTATATTAAAACAACATCATATGCAACATTTTTATCCAGTTAGCGTTTACTAGGTAAAAAGTCTTTAATCTCACTTACCGGGTAAGACTCTTAGGGGCCGTTTATCAAGAGTCTTACCCGGTAAGAGCGAGACAAGAACCAAAAGTCATACACGGGTAAGTGTTTACCAAGTCACATTACCTCACTGGATGAATATGGTAAGAACCAAGAATCTTACCCGGTAAGATTGAGACAAGAACCAAGAGTCTTACCCGGTAAGAGCGAGACAAGAACCAAGAGTCTTACCTGTTAAGTGAGAGCGACGATTCTTACCACAGTAAGCACTTACCAGGTAAATTGTTGCATTCGATGTCGTTTTGGTGGACTAAGATCTTACCCAGTAAGTAAATAATAGTATTAAATTTTATTGGTAAGCACTTACCAGGTAAGTATTTGGTAAACGGCTCCTTAGTCCTTGTCATTGCTCTTACCGGGTAAGATTCTCATTTTGTCATGTTCATTCATTAAGGTAAAGTGACACATTAAGCACTTACTAGGTAAGCATTTAGTAATGGCTCCTTAGATAAAACTAACCAAAGACATTCAGAGGACAAGTTCATTTGAGAACCATGAGAAGCAACTATTCACGATGAACATCGTGAATAATAAAAATGCATGATAATCATGATGAAGACTATAGATGAATAGTTGGTTCTCAATAATTACGATTCTTAGACGACGTTCAAAATGGCGTGAGACATGACATAACGACGGGACCAAACCTCAAGCTTACATGCCCCGATGAGGATGCAACGTTTTTTAAGGCGCGTATGTCATATATAGAACTATATGTATACATCTACATTTTCTATATGTTATTCAATCAATTAAAAAATTTACATTCATATTAGAAAAAGAAAAAACATATAAATAATTATTATATATATAGACTTTGATTAAACATTTAAAATAGAACTCAGAAGGGTAATTTTACAACTTCGTTTTAATCGTGAATCCATGACGTATATGAAATCATGAAAATACGAATGATGTGATTAGATAGATCTATAAATGTGTAAAATATAAAGTTAAGTGTTAAAAGCACAAAAGCTAGATAAAATATTAAAAAAATTGAAAAATATCACGGCTTGAACGTTCTCCAAACATCTGGTATGTCCCATATGGAACTAGAGTCTAGCGGGGGGATGTATGCAGGTTTCTCCTCTATCCTAACGAGTATAACAGTTGTTTCGTTGTGAGGTTTAAATTGCCACTCACAGAATGGATGGAAGGAAGTGGTATAAATGAATACAACTTGAGCATTTTATGTGAATGCAATGTGAGAGTTCAATCACTTGTATATTCAAAGAATAATGGGTTGGCCTTTGCAACAAACCATACTTGCAAAACCAACCATCAAAAATGCAAAATAAGAACCGGTGTAGTTTATAAGAATTAGTGATTCCAACCCTATTATAAAAATACAGATATAAAAACTTCGTTAAAATTCGTTTGTTCTTGCACACCGGTGTTTTTATCTTTTTTTTCCATTTTGCAACAACGGTTCTTGTTTACAACCTAAGCTTATCCTGAGACCCCTACTTTGACTTTTGACATGATACCCATGACGTGCAAAATCAAGGGTGTTCATGGAAACAGACGTTCAACTCTTTGTGACAATCTCACATCATTTAGGCATATAATCTTAAATGAGATTTTAATAAAATCCATGACCTCCTGACCTAATAAAAGAAAAATGCTTTATAGTCATCAGAAGGTCATGGATTTAATAAATTATCATGTAATGTTATATACCTAAATATACCAGCAAAAGGACAGGTATGTATAAATCCTACCCCCAGACTCTACTTCCGAGTGAGATATACCGAGTTCATTTGGTTTGGTTTAACTATGGCCTCCAAAGTGCAAATAAAACCGTTTGACATGATACCTACGACTTCCAAAAGTACAATTATTATAAATGTAGTATACTCTTAAGGTAGTGCATCAAAATTTTCTCTGAACTTTAAAGAATCCATAATAATTTTTAAGAATGTATCATTTTGGAATCATATATGGCATTATATCAGACTGTTATATAGTTTAAAAGAATTTACGACACTAATCATGCAAATTACGTTTGAACGTACCAGGAAAGAACGGATCTCGTCTTTCATGTCAGCAATGCCCGAAAGGATTTCCATCTTCTCCACATGCCCAAGATTACTGAGAAAACTCAATTCCGCCCCTTCTTGTTGCTGCATTTTTTCATCCCTCTTCTGCTTTGCCATTCTCTCATATTCAGCAATAGAATCCTCCTTATCAAGCAAGAAACTGATTCCCTTCTCGGCATAGAAGCCCGAACACCTTGCACATCCACAGAGTGCCTCCCTCCAATTCTTCGAGAGAAACATCGGTTGACTTTTTTCCGAGGTCAATTCAGTGGTCAACAGGTCAACACCAAGAAGACACGTATCAGATTTCTCGCCAATAATCATACCCTTCTCATCAGATACAGTAGGATCTACATGATGAAACTCTGAAGTGCCATTTTCAAGATTTATTGAGGGTCCAGAAGCCGAAGGTGCGGTTTCCACGCCCTTTTCTTTGGCATTAGTTGCAGTATCTTGTTGTTTATGCAACGCCCGTATGGTTTGAGGGTAGAGGTTTAAAAAAGAACAGATTGGTGAGCAGATGTGGCAGATGAGATCTTCGTACAGAGGTTCTCCTTCCTCATCTCTTGGTATCTGTATCTAAATTTTCGATGACAACACAAATATATAAAAACGAGATAACTGAGAGCATCGACGTATTCTTCTAGGATGCAGTTGAAGGTGATGAGCCAGTCATTAAACATGAGCCAATTTTGGCATTTAATGGGTAAAATGCAATAAAAATGCAACGAATTTGCCTTTTTTTCCTATTTAGTGTAACCAATAATATATTTTTTCTCGATCAATGTAACAAAGTTCCGAAATTTTCTATCTTTTACCCATTTTGACCAATAGCATGTTGCTCTTGTAACATTTGATGACATGTACATCAAGTTTATGCCCACTTCATCGTAACTCTTTTGTAAACTTTTCATAAACATCCACGTCATCAAATGTTATAATATCAGCAAGCTACCAATCAAAATGTGTATATAATAGAAAATTTTGAAACTTTATTACATCGATTGAGAAGAAAATGATACGTTATACTAAATATAAACTAAACCAAACTTTATTGCATTCGGATGCATTTTGCCAACATATAATTACCATACTCCAAAATAATGATACAAGTAAATGTTGTCAAGTGTGAAGACGCAAGTTCTTTAATTTTTCAAAAAAAAAAAGATTTAGCAACAAAATGATAACCATGTCGAATTTCATCGCAATTCACAAGTACAAATGTGTAACATTTCTTTTAGCCAGTAATTTCTTCGGCTTGAAGGAATAGCCTTTCTATGAGTTGCATGTATACAATTCTTAGGGCCTGTTTGTTAGCATCTTAATGAGCTTAATGGGACTCACAGTTATTCGGTCAACTACATATGACTGTTTGGTAGTGGCTTAATGATATATAAAGTGGCGTAGTCAGTAAGATTCTAGGGGGAAGCTTTATGCAGAAAGCCAAGTTTTTTTTCAAACCTATTCATCCCACTTAAAAAACCACGCTCCTTCCATCTATGAAAAAAACCCTTCCAAACAAAAACATCCACAATCTATACAGAAAGATTAATCCACACAGACAGCTTTATCTAGACAGGACTTAATGAAAAACCAACCAAACATCCCCTTGGAGTATGATTACCAGGTATGATATTCTTGATATATTCACAAAAAGTAACCATCTCTAAAACCATTTTGAGCAGAACAATGATAATAACACATGAGAAGTTAACATGCCATATAATTAATAATACTAACCTCATTGGTAGACTCGAGGCCAAGATGCTCCTCATGAAACCAATCCTCACATATGCAGCATTGGATCATCTCTACTTGCTCTTCAACATCAGGATCCGGATAAGGTCGACCACAGGTACAGTATTTGCCCTTGAAATTATGGTTGTAGGAATTCTCTGAATTCTCAATATCTTTGCTTGGTAAAAGTTTGCAGAAGGCTTCTCCAAATTTTGAATTACCACAATCACATTTGAACTTTCTCTTTGTCCAGAGTTCTATAATCTGATCCAAGTTGGAGAAATATGCCAAAGGGAAAACGGAGAGGATTAGAAGCATCATATGTATAACAAACTATAGCTAGAAATTTCAGGTTCAACTGAAATAAGCATATTGCCATGGTATAGCATATGTAAACATGAACACTATCAAATGATACACCCAGCCCCAATGGTCAAAGGGCATGCACGACCAACATGTTTTCTAATCATATAAGCTGGCTAAGCGACATTTTTTGCAAGGTTATTCATAGAAAAAACAAACCAAAGGACATCTGAGCATTTTAGTACACATGTCAACCTGAATCTAGGTGAACATGAGACAGAATTCAATTTTATTGGACACTTACGTTGCAGTTTTTTCCTCTTAATGATTGGTGTTTTTATAAAAATAACATGTGAGCAGATAGACTGAAATGGAGGTCACTTTGTTAGTTTGTTATATGAGTATACAGATCCAGATGTTAACCAGCAGTGTCTTTATAAAGCTTTGAAGGATAGCATTAAAAAATGCAACGTAAACGTCAAATTCATACTAAAAACTGAGGATTTCTAGAGGTGATGGAAGTTGCAAGTAAGCCATCATCTCTGACATTGTTTGTAGATTTTTCTTTTTCTTTCTTTGTTTTTTGGATTAGTTATGGTTATTACATGGTTTTCTTTGTAAATGTGTTTCTTCCACCAAATACTACACCATCAACTTCTCTTTCAGAGGACTTGCAGAATCAAATTACATGATTTATGTTTCAAAATCCAGATACCAAATAAAGGTCAAAAAAGTCTTGAAAAAACAAAAGATGGTGACAATCATGGCAAGTAAAATATTCTATTAAACCAATCACAGAGTCACCTACATGTGAAAGTGGAGTATATTAGAAAAAATATTTTTTTGTTGTTTCCAAGCAATTATGAAAGGTTGAAATGGGGAAAGAAGCAACATGTGAATTGAGTGCATGGACTGCAAGACTAATTGCATGACCCGTAATCGATCAACCAAAACGTTATGCACACGTGCAGTGTCATGCAAGTTATTACATCCCTCTATTTCTTTTAACCTCTGGCTCTATAAAGCTAAAGAGATGATAGGTTTCATGTAGCCAAATCTAGTAGTATATGACAATATAAGCCACATAAGGAATTGGATCAATCTATGAGCTAAGTGCATTAACATCTGCAATCAGGTTTTTTGAGTCTACAGATTATGTATGCAAGTATGTTCATCATACACCAAATGACAAGGTTATCAGATATGAATAGAAATAAAAGAGAACCTCATGTCCATCATGACAAGACAAACTACACGCTGTGCAAACACCGGCATTTCCCTCTGGAGTGCATGTTAAGCATGAGAAAATTGCCTGCCTCTTCATATAACCTTTGACGTACGTGCACTCCTTTCCCTCATCTCCACCCAAAACTAAATCCGCTTCCTGAATAGGGAACCAAAGTACAAAAAGCATGTCAACAGCCATACATAACTTGTAGTCCAATATCACAAACAATAATGGTCACCATAATGATTTAGTAGTCATGTTATCGAATAAAAACTAACATTGTTGCAATACAATGAGACAAGCATTAGAGTTATAAGTAGATCTGTTCATCTTAGAAGGCATAATTGAATCCTTAATGTGGTCTTTTTCCTGTATTTTACAGATAGAATTACATTTGCCACTACAAAGGTGATAGGCTCATTACAATTTAACTAGCCTACAATTGAGTTGGTTGCATGATCTGTTTATATTGTGTTCAGCTTTATAAATGAAACTTTGGCTTAAAGAAACCATATTATGGGCTTATCGCACATATTAGGTTTGTCCTTCCTTCACATAGAGTGAGTTTTTACTACATTTGAGAAAAGAGGTCAAAGCATCATGTTTATTCCTTTCATTCATCTTTCAGCAAAGCATACATGTAAGGTCCCAAGTTCATCTCGAATTTCAACTTCTTGACTTCAAAAACAAAAATGTGAATTCACCTCCAACCACAAAGTTCTTCCTATTATTCCTTTAAGAACTGCCTAATATAATCAACCACTTGTAATGAGAAAGCATAAACATAACAACAATAATTAGCTTCGGCTGCGACCTTGACATAAACTGCAAGTGGAGCAGATACAGGTGTAAATGATATGTGCATATTGAAAGCAACAAGCATATGGCTTATAAAACATCTAATGATTTTTACCTTATGAATGTTTGCTAACAAACTATATCAACTTGATTAAGATCATCCAAAACACACTGAAATTGCTAACTTGATAGTTGTTCTGATTGACACATCATGGAGAATAATTTGGAAAAATTGAGCTTAGAGAGTAAGGATGAACACAGATTGGGTGATTGGATTGAAGGCATGTGAACCAGCCCAGTGTTTGCAGTTTTCTCAACCCAACCCAAACCGTGTGGGTTGGGTTAGTCGGGTTAAAACTTTGGTACATCAAAAAATTTCGCGTATGTTTGTTACCTTGAATATGGTGCTTTCTCTACTCATAATTTCTTTATTCATTATTAATCAATTGGTGGTATATCTTATACATACTCCTTAAGTAGATCACATTAATGTTTTTCTTAATTTGCATATAAATTATCACATTTACTTTACATATATATGAAAACAAATGCAGGAGTTATATAGAGATGAAGAAGAGATTTAAAGAATATATATATATATATATATATATGATGAGGGTGATGGTCCAATGGTCTAATGTACACATCAATAAGAGACTTAACAACCATGTTAAATTCAATGAATAGAAGGATATCGGATTCATCAGGTAGGGTTTAGTAACTTGGATTCAAATAACCTAACCTGATTCCAACCCAATACCTACTGTTTGAAAATTTTACAACTCGACTAGGCCAATATTGGTTGACTTCGTGTTGGGTTATTTTGGGTTGAATTGGGCTGGCCGGGTTTTTGTACACCCCAGTTACAGATAGAGACTCATATCAATATGGCGAAGTAAAGGCAAAGGACTGAAAGGATGGAAGATTTTCTTGCGGTCATTTTACCCAACAGTAATCGCAAACAATTAATTATGCAAAAAGCTCCATCAAATTCGAGATGTGTACAGGTAAGCTGCTAATCACATGTCATGAGACCACCAGCTGGAAAATTGACTGAAATGGCCCTTTCCCACGAAACAATTCACCTCTTAGACATTCCTTTCCCCACTTTCACCAAAAAATCACCAACTCCACAAGTGCAAAGATTCTTGAGTTTGAATCACATGGCCCATTAATAAAATGACACATAGCCTACTTCGTGGAATAGAAGACAATGGATACCAGCGGAGGTGGTGATTTTGTTAAAAATGTGGGACAGAAGTGGCTAAGAGATAATTTGGTCGGTCAAAATGACTATTTTTGTTAATTTCCACCAGGGGAAAACCTAGAATATAATTTCGTTACATCCATTTTACCAAAAAAATAATGAAACCTCATGTACAGCAAGCCAGTAACACATCAAATTTTCAGCAAAGCGACAAAAATCTCATAATAACTGAATCTTAAAGAATTGGGTACACTTACAAGTTCCTGATCCTCGACTTCATCAAGATACTCATTCAGTGAAACTGTTTGCTCAGTTTCCTCTTCGAATACATCAGCCATTGTTGGCCCGATGAAACAAAAGGTGTTGTTCTACAAACACAACAGATCAAACCTTTAGTCACAAACCAACAACCGAATTGAAATTTAGCACAACAACGGATGATTTACGGTATTCGAAGACCTCGAAGAAAACAAAACCCTAAGTACTTGAAAAGCAGCTTAAACTTCCTGATCGAATAAACGAATCTAACGTTGCCTTGTAGCTGATCCAGCAGAGATGATGGTCGATAATTTGTACATAGCTATGAATGAAGATATCGTAAATTTGAAGAGACCGAAGGCGTGTGGGATGTGAGAAAAATGGAATTTAGGGCTCAAAAAGAAAAGGGGGAAGACTGCCATTTTCCCGCCATAAATAAGCCCAAAATATTTCATATAATTTATATTTTATATATAAAAATTAAGTTTTGTTGCAACCATTTTTTATATGTTCATCAAAATCTTATTATTTTGACTTTTAACATTTGCATTATAAAGCATTTGACATAAACTCTTAAAAATCATTTTTGATACATCAAATATCATTTATTGATGTATATTATTTAAAGTTCAAGATTACAAGTAAATTGTGTGTCGTATAACTTATTAAAACTCTATATTTAAATTTGTGTAACTAACTTCAAATAAACATAATTAAATATATGATAATCATCTTATCTTAAATATAAATTATCTAAAATATAATTAAGATAATAATTAAGTTCTAACAGAATATTTAATTATTATCTTTATTAAAAATTATATTATTAAATCTAAATTAAACTATAATAAAAAAAATTGAACTAAACAACTTACATCAAAAATGAAGAAATTTTAAATAGTTATTTTGATATTAATATCGATAATCTTTTTCAAATTTTCTATTTAATTCAAACATAAAAACATTATCGTTTTATAAAAACCGTATTATAACATCGACAGAGACAAATAATAAAATGAAATATTAAGATCAAGATGTTTTCGGTTGCATTGTGCGAATATCCTTCTAGTCATCCAAAATGTGGGAAGAAAGCGAGAGAAATAAATTTATAAAAATTAAAATTATTTATAAAAAATGACATATATACCCCCGTTAATTACATTTTACTGTAAAATAAATAAAAGTATATTTGTAAAAGTCACATTTTTTTTCTTTCTTTTTTCTCCCATTCGATTATATGAAATTTTATTTTCATTTCTCCATTCACTTTCAATAACACAAATAAAAAAGGGAAAAGTCTAAGAAAACTAATGGACTTTTTTGTTTAGAATGATTAAGTCATTGGACAAATTTTTTTAAATGAAATAACTGATTATACTTTCTGAAATTTGTTAAATAAATCTTTAGACCTTTAAAAACCTATTAAATACATTCTTATTGCTTAAATGTTACTTTGTTTTCAATTTCTAAGCTAATGGGTGTTTTGGGATTGCTTATTTGAAACAACTTATGTTTTTCTATAAAAATATTTATCAACTTATTATAAGTCATAAGTGTTTAACTTCTTCAAAAACTCTTTATTACCGGTTTGGCACCGGTATAAGTTGTTTATTCAAACACTCAAAAATGTTTATTATCGGTGCAACACCGATATAAGTTGTTTATTAAATTGAATTTAATGAAAAAGCTTGTGAAATGGTCGATTAATTTAATTAAAAATAAATTTGTTAATCTCGTTGAAATTCATTGATGGCGTTTACATAATATTTTTGGATGAAATAAAACTTATCAAACAAATTTGACTTTGAAATAATTGGAATGAAATGTTATTAGGTCTGATCACATGTTTGATAGACATACATAGATGGGTTTGAGATTAAAGGTGATCAAGAGTACAAATCTCTTCTTACATTTCTCACATTAACTCTCATTCTCACACGATCATTTGCTTACCCAATTATATATATATATATATATATATATATATATATATATTGTTTTTTAGTCAATGTTTTAGCTAAGTCCTTTCGACCCTATTCCCCTTATTTTATCAATTACAGTGTTTTAGCAATTTAGTCAAAACCTTTCATCTTCTATCAGAAATCACCAAGCACGACTCATGTTCAGTAATATTAATCTTTCTTGTTCTTTGTTTTCGTCTTTCTTGTTCTACGAGTAGAGCCTATATAGCAGTTTCAGTGATTTCGTTTATTATTATACTGACGTAATTTTTAGAGCACTATACCTTAATAACACACTGATAAATCTCCGAATTTGAGGGAGATTTCAGCCCTAGATTCAAGATATGGTTTTTTGAGAACTCGAGTAAACAATAGCTGGTAAACTCCTATATACCAGTATTTTAATTTACTGATTTCTTAGAGAAAGTTGATTATGAATAATTGATTGAAGATTTTGTTTCAAACAGTGTTAGAAAAAATGATTCTATTTAAGTTAATTTTGGATTTTAAGACATTTTTGCTGTTTTAATCTGTAAGATTTTTAATATAACGTATGATGTGAATTTTTATAGTTTGTCCTGATACAAGTACAATAAGGCCTCCAAAAATATTGGAACGGTACTTTAAACCAACTTCCATGCTGTTATTTAGTTGGTTTAAGAGGTGGAATGGAATGTATCGAATGGATTTGAAATTCATAAACCAATCAAGCGTCTGTTTATTTTACGCATCCAAAAATCTCAATTCCGTAAACCATAATTTCCACTCAGAATAAAAATACCATTTTACCCTACCACCACCACCAACTCCACCCATTGCCACGTCCACCACCTCCATCCACTGCCACCCACACCTGGTCATTGCCGCTGACCACCACCCACCAGTCAGTCCACCACATCATGCTATAAAAAAAACCATAAAAGGGTGTTCTGGTTGGTCGTCATATTTCATTCCAATTATGAATCCATGTCCAATGAACCAAACATACATGCGTCATTCAAGTTATTTCCATCAAACTGCTTGGTCAAATTACTTTATATTTAATTATAGTTCTGCCATACTCCAATTCCGTTCACATATTCCATTATATCCAAAAACATTTTGTGAACCAAACGATGTCTTATAACCATGTTAATTGCATAGTCATATATTAATCAGCACGTTTTGTGGTGCCTGCTTGAGTTTGATCCAAGCAAGACCCGAGCGTATATCAAGGAGCTCAAATGGCTTGATAAGATCCATAAGAAATTCTGTTGGATTAGAAAAAACTGATTCGAGCTCGACCCATAAAAGGTACACAAAAATATCAACCACGAATCAGTCAGTGCGAGTTTTCTCCATGCAGATAACAATCAATTATGGTTGTTATTTGCATGGCCAATAAGATTAGTCAAGGTGCAAACAAAATGATTCCGGACAAACATAATCTATACTATATTATAAAGCATTTGACAAGAACTCTTAAAAATAATTTTTTATGCATGAAGTACTGTTTACTTATGTATTTTACTTAAAATTCAAGATTACAAGTAAATTGTGCATAAGTACAACTTATTAAAATTCTATGTTTGAATTCATGTAACTAACCGGGGATAAACGTAATCAAATCGAGAATAATCATCTCATTTTAAAATATAAAAAATCTAAAATATAATTAAAATAATTATTAAATTATAACAGAATAGTTACTTATTATTTTTATAAAAAATATATTATCAAACCTAAATTAGTTACTTCGTTACGTTAAATTAAATTATAATAAAAAATTTGAATTAAAAAAAATATACAAACAAGAACTTTTAAATAGTTCATTTGATACTAATATTGATATATTTTTTTGCAAACTTTATATGATATTTTCAAATTTATATTTATTTAAAAATAGAAACATTATCGCTTTCTCAAAACCACATAAAATCGTATTATATCGACATGGATAAAAGTGAAAGGAAACATTGAAATGAAATTATGTCTTGATGCATTGCACGAGTACCCTTCTAGTTAAATATAACAACAATAATAACCATATATATGTTTCTCATGTTTGTATTCCTAAGCTAAAATAAGTTCAGCTCAACCGAGCTTCAATTAAGTTCAAGCACGAGTTATTCAGTAAAACTTGACTCGTTCACTATAAATAAATATATCTGATTTATTGTATCGTTAAGACAAACTGCATCGTTACAAGTTTAAGACTTTCGAACCCTATAAATAAATATATCTGATTTATTGAAACAAACCATGGTTTCAATCTGATATATTGGATTTTGTTTGTTTATTCTTGTAATTCTCTTGTTTTTATTAATATATCAATTTAATTTTCATCTTATTGGTAGAATGATACCTAACATTTCAAAAAAGTGACGTCGTTTTGTGACTTGCTTCCCACAAATGATTTTCATCACATTGTCGCTATGTATTTGTAGATATCGTACACATTAAATAAGTTGTTGTTTTCACGACTTTTTATTATTACACCCCCCCA